AGTTATGTTACTGGTAAGTCACATAGTGATTTTAGGCAGGGAGAAATCAAATCTGTTCTGTATGATTTTCAACACTGACATGAGCAGTAAAAAGCAGCTGATACTTCATTCCTTCTGTATGTTCTCAAAGAATAAGGAGAAAGCTGGAGCTTCAGGCCTGCAATAAACTGGCTTTCTCGATGTAGGTGTGAAGTGGCCTATAGATTTCAGAAACCTACCACTCCATCCTTCTTTTACACCCAAATTGTTTCATCTCTGGGATATGCTCTTATGGCCACTGACTGATACAGTGACAAACTATACCCATATTTCTTTCATCAAGCCCAGAGTCAACACTTTTAAGACAAAACCAATTTTTTTTTAGTTTTATTTTTTATTTTTTTAAAGATTTTATTTATTTGTCAGAGAGTATGCACAAGCAGGGGGAGCGTCAGGCAGAGGGAGAAGCAGGCTCCCCGCTGAGCAGGGAGCCCGATGTGGGACTCGATTCCAGGACCCTGGGATCATGACTTGAGCCAAAGGCAGATGCTTAACCCACTGAGCCACCCAGGTGTCCCAGGATAAAAACAATCAACTGTTGTATGAAAAGAGTCCAGGAACACTTGTGGACTTTTTACTTAATTTCTCTTTTCTTTTTGCAATAAATTGAATATTCTTGGACTATAACTTGCAAGTATAATGCAGAACCCCTGTAGCCCTCTGCTCACTCTCAACTGCTCTGCTGTGTGGAGTACAAAGAGTTTCCCAAGATGACACTATCAGTGTCATCTTCTGGTGTCAGAAGTGGAAAAGAAAAAGCCAGGACTGCTATGAAGTGTTCAGTCTACTTGTGTAGAAGACACATGAGACCTGAATGCACTTCAGGACTCCCCAAATGATGCAGGAGAAGGCAGTGACCTGGCCAAGTTACTGTGAAGTAGGCCCCAGATGTGGGTGAATCCCTCCCTGGGACTAAAGGATGAGGAAAAGGAGAACAGTGCTCTCTGCTAGGCAGTGGAGCCCAGAGCCTGGGAACTAAAAACTCAATTTTCTGGGTTTACACCAGTTAGGGGGGATGGAGGATGAGCTGCCTCAGTAATTCCCTATCAAGAACTCTTCACCAGGGCCAAGATTCTCCAGCAAGACCAGTCACACGGAAACTCTGAGCCCAAATAAAAGTCTGCACAACCCAAGGGAATCTCTAAGGAAACCGGGATTGGTCCATACAGCTCTGTAGCTGAAAGGGACACAAATTCAGGTTAGGCAATGAGACTACTTCCATAATATCAAGTGGGCAGTTGGATACATGAGTATGGAGCTTCAGCGAACAAGTCTAGATCAGAGTACATATTTAGTAGTTATCAGAATAACAATCAAATGTAAGTGAAACCAGAGCAGCAGATGAGACTTGTCAGGGCCTACAACTCATGTTAAAAGAAAAGAAAGGAAGAGAGAAAGAAGCGGTGTGGGGAGGTAGATACCAATCCCTTGGTTGATTTTAGGGCTAAGTTAAGGGATATATGAAAAAGCACTTTATTTCGCTTCCCTACCTCAGTAAAACCAATTTCCTACTCCTCTTTCCCTCCATCAATCTTTTTCAGACTTTCTTTAAATTATACTTCCAACTGAAAACACCATCCCTCACAAATACAAAATGGTCAAGAACCCAAAAATCAATGACATTTGGCCTCAAAGGACACCTACACTTAATGTTCTGGAAACTCAGTAAAAGCCAAAAGGATTTCTCCCAATGTCTCCACCATGGCTCTCTGCTTAACTCTTCATTCTATTCTAGAAATACAGTTTATCTCTTCGACTAGTTCAAAGCAGACTGGCATTAAAATCTCCCTTGGAACAGTTAGGGTGGTTAAGTGTTTCAGTTTCAAAGGAATGTAGCTTGTAAGCAAAATTAACATCAAAAGAGGAAGCCAGATGTCAAAATATTGAGCAAAATGGGGCTGTCAATAATGAAAAACAAGCACTGCAATGTGGAGAATCCCCACACCAATAACCTCAAGGTAAATTTCAAAATGTTTCAGATACAAACCTTCATCCCTCATCTGTGACCTGTATTTTTTCCCTCCACCCACTACATCCTCTTTTATTAAAAGTAACACAAAGGGAAAACACTTTTGAAATCAGAGTGAGACTTATACACCCCAGCTGCAACTTCAACAAGATATCATCATGACTAAGTTCACATGACTCATAACTTTCCTGAATTATGCAATTCATAACAGTTCAATTGAAATCATCTTGGGTGTCCTGTGGAGTACTCCAAAAGCCAGGATTCTAGTATATGTTTCTATCCTTCAGAAAAATGTTGTCAAATCCCAGGGTGCCTAGGTGGCTCAGTCGGTTAAGCATCTGCCTTCAGCTCAGGTCATGATCTCAGGGTCCTGGAATCGAGCCCCACGTCAGGCTACCTGCTCAGCGGGAAGTCTGCTTCTCTCTCTCTCCCTCTCCTTCTGCACCTAACCCACTCTTACTATCTCTCTCAAATAAATAAGTAAAATTAAAAAAAAAAAGTTATCAAATCCCTAATCAATATTTAGTACTGAGGGGCACCTTATTGGTTCAGTTGGTACAGCATGCAATTCTTGATCTCAGGGTTGTGAGTTTGAGCCCCACATGGCGGGTAGTGTTTACTTAAAAAAGAAATTTAATACTGAGTTTATGGTAACATTTATAAGACGAGCAGACTACAATAAACCACACTCTTTAACTATAAAACTACTCTTTGATCTTGACCAGTTCAATCTAAATAATGGTAAAGCTAAGCAACTAATCACATCTGGAGCCATCAAACACACACACACACACACACACACACAGTCATTCTTCAGAAGAAAAAATACCCACAAGGCATATACTTATCACTGTGAGAATGTGACAACTCACTACACCTTTCTGAGGCTCATTTTTCCTATTGTTTTATTTGAAAAACTAAAACATGATCTATAAGGTTCCTTTCAGCTCTACAGTTTGTAAGTGCCCCCACCAAGGAGTGTCCTTATTTTCCCTCTTCACCTACCTAAACTTAAAGTCTGGGCTTGAGTATCACCTCCTTCAGGGAGCCTTCGATAACTTTCCCAGGCTAGATTCAGTGCCTCTTCATGATAATAATACTTGCCGTAATGTATTGTATCACTCTCCTCCATGTTGTTTTTGGAATTGTCCGTTTAGATCTCTCTGTACCACTATGCAAAGGCTTTTTGAAGTTGCATATTGTCTGATCGATCTCCAATGCCACACAAAATACTTGCATACGGTATGTGCTCTTCTAACATTTTGTGAATAAATGGGTAAGGCTATGTATGCATTTTTCTGGCACTGGTGGTCAGCATTTTGCAAATAAAAAACACACAGTCAAAAAAAACCCCTCCATGATCTGTGAATGTTGTGGAGGATTCATCTAGAAAGTAACGTTTTCCTTTTTACTATGGACATCCTTAGGATTCATGCTACTTATTTTTCCACCTGTGAACAAGAGCATTATAAAAATGCAACAGCTGTGTTACAGTAAAAATTTAATTTTAATATCAAAATACATGTTTGTTTCTATTAACATTTATCCTTATGAAGTAGATCCTTACTCTATCCCTCCATCCTGACCACCACTACCTCAAAATTTTCCTTCAGTATGTACTGACTTATCACATCTCAGCCCTTCCTAACAAGCTCCCTTGCCTTTCATTACACCAGTCACCTGTAATCCATTTCAAGTTGAGATAACCACAAAACAGCTGTTCAGGTGAGAACACTCAACAGCTTTAATACCCTCAGTCAATTACAATTTCTGTCCATTAAAAAAACTGCCAGTAAACTAATGTGAAAGTTTTAATTAGATATAAAGAAAACCCACATGCGGTCTCAATCTGCATAACACTACACATGGAATCATGGTGGGATTTGGAGACCAATACAACCATGAAAAATCAACTTTGCACACTGGGAAAATATACTGTTTCATACTTAATTACTAAACTGTCTTATATGTCAACTTTTGTAAGGCAAAGAATCCTAACACTTCGTAAGTTTACACAAATTTCACATCTCTTAATGTACGTCCATCCTAAAATCCAATCTCTTCAGAAAATCTAAATAAGAGTGGGTGGAGGAGGGGACAATTGGGTGATGGGCATTAAGGAGGGCACCTGATGTAATGAGCACTGGGTGTTATATGCAACCGATGAATAACTAAATTCCACCCCTGAAACTAGTAATACAGTAAATTGAATTTAAATTTCAAAAAAGGTGTTAGTTGAAAAAAAAAGAGAAAATCTAAATATGAACCCTCTACTTCCTGGACTCAAAACTAATCAAATTGGTCATCCCTGATAATTTCTTTGTTTAAAATGGCAAGGAAGGCATTCAAGCGGTTATCAAAGAGTTGGCGTGGTAGGTTCAAGCGCCCCCTCCCAGCACCCCCAATAAGCTACAATTTAAGTAAGGACATGCTTACAAAGCTCGCAAAACTCAAGTCCAAGATGAGTTCTCCAGTCACCGCCTTCCAACCAGATTACTACATAAAGAACCTCCTACAGCAGAAATTCTAGTTCGCTCCTTGCAGAGCCAGGAAGAGCTGCTGGAGCTCTGGGCCCTTCCTATCCGCACCCGCCCCCCCCCCCCAAGTCCTGGCTCTGGTAGCAACACCTTAGTAGGGCAGGGACCTGGACCACATCTCCTTCCCCAAACACGAGCCAACACCACCCCCCTTACCGCTTTCCCAAACACAATCCCAAAACACAAACTCAGGAGGCAGACCCCTCCCAGGCCCTCAGTCACTACCGGGAGCCCCTTCCAGTAGCCCTTTCCCATTCAGAAAGACAAGCCCTTCTCCCTTCCTTCTCTCAACTCCGAGAGCCACACCCCCTTCCTGCACGAAAACTTAGGGACGCGCCACCGTCCAATACTCCGCCCCTAAGCCCCTGAAAGATCCTGGTCCCCTGCTTTTCCCCGAAAGCAGCGCGCTCCAGGCGCCCGGCGCCGGCCCTAAGCCAACTCTCCCGGGTCTTTACCGAGTCGCTCCGGGGAATCGTCCGGAGGTCGCGGCGCCACCACGAAAGGAACCACGCTGGTCAAGAAGAGGAGACACTGCCTCATGTTCCCGGCCCGGCCACCGGCTCCACCTCTCTGGGCAGCCTTCGCCTGACGGGGGCCTGGGACACTGCTCACATTGGGAGAGAAGGGGATCCGCCCGGCCCTGCCCCTCAAGCCTCTTTTTCCTCCCGCGCCGCCTACCGGAAGACTCTAGAGCCCGGCTTGAGGCCCCCGGAAGTGCAGGCAGCGCTCCGAGAGGGCGGCTCAACCCGCTTCCGGCTGCCGCCGATCCCCGCCCCGCCCACAGCCGGAAGCCGGGCGCCGCGCGGCATGCCGGGAGCCCCTCGCTCGCCCCGCCCCGTGCCGGCGCCCCGCCCCCTCCCCTCCCCTCCGCCCTTCCCTTCCATCCCCCCGGGTGCGGCCGGCGCCTGCTCGGATGCTGGGCGAGACGTCCTTACTCGACCCATCCTGGCCTCGGCTGTGTCCTCGGGTGACCGCCGCGAGGGAGGCGGGAGCTCGCGAGTAGGCCTTCAGAAGCGCGTCCGCCCGCCTCGGTGGTCTGGGTCCCCCATCTGGTTAGGATCCCTGTATCTTTCACTGCACGGGCCACAGAAACAGCCTTGCGGCCCAGGACGGACACGAAGGGGCGCCTGGCCCGGTGTGGTCGCGGGAATGAGCCGACCACGAAACGCCTGGGACGCAGGACGGCCGAGAAGCCCGGTCCACGCGCCAGCCTCCCGGAGACAAGTGCAGTGTGCCGCCGGGCTATCCGCGCCCAGCGTGCGGCCAGCGGCGGCGTCCGTTGTAAGGAGCAGGGCTTGGTGGAGGGAAATGAACGCGAACTCTGAACGCGCGTTTTCTTGGCGCTGTGGGCAGAGGGTCTGCAAACTCTTACAGATTCTAGAATCCTGCCACGAACTCCTCATCTGTGTGAGCACAGGAGCTAGAATCTTCCAGCCAACTTTTTAAAAAGTCAGTTCTGCGTGGTTCGTGAGCTTAGACTGGAGATTTCCCAAAGCAGTTTGTATTTGGTTTCCTTTGTATAATTTTAGCTCTGTGTAGTTGAGTGAGAGTGTTTATAGTACTGGAGAAAAACATTCTAAAAGCATTGGATGCTTATTGCTCTTTTGGTTCAACTAAAATTTATACAAGTAGGACATAACACATTTTCCACTTAAGAGTGAGTCGAACGGCCTTTTCTCCATTATGAAGTGGTAAATTGCTAGGAATAGGATATAGCCTTGCTCGGTGAACTTTCAAGGCTAGTTCCTAATAAAAGACACCAACTGTGGTTTAAACAGGTTCATTGTGGTTTGCCTCATTAAAATCTCAGCATCTTTCCAACAGTTGTTATCCATGGTTACTGGCTTTGCATTTTTGGCTTAACTGAACCTGGTATGTTCATCTGAGGTATGCCTTCATTAAATATAAACATCTGGCATACTTAATCAAAAAGCAAGCCGAATTTCACCTCTGTAAATTGCACACAACTTTAAAAAAAAATTGTATCCCTAGGGGTACCTGGGTGGTTCAGTTAGTTAAGCTTCTGGCTCTTGATCTCAGCTCAGTTTTGTTGTTGTTTTGTAGAAACCATCTTTTTTTTTTTCCATTTAAATTCAACTAACATATAGTGTATTAGTTTCAGAGGCAGAGTTCAGTTATTCATCAGTTGCATGTAACACCCAGTGCCCATTACATCATGGGCATTAAGGAGGGCACATCACCCAGTTACCCCATCCCCCCACCCACATACTCTCCAGCAACCCTCAGTTTGTTTCCTATGATTAAGAGTCTCATGAGGGGTGCCTGGGTGGCTCTGTCGGTTAGGTGTCTGCCTTCAGCTCAGGTCATGATCTCAGGGTCCTGTGATGGAGCCCCACGTTGGGTTCCCTGCTTAGCAGGGAGTCTGCATCTCCCTCTCCCTCTGCCCTTCCCCCCACCTTGGTGTCTCTCTTCTCTCTCTAATAAATAAACTCTTTTTTAAAAAAAGTCTTAAGGTTTGTCTCCCTCTCTGATTTCATCTTACTTTTCCTTCCCTCCCCTCAGCTCAGTTCTTGATCTCAGGGTTATGAGTTCAAGCTCTGCCTTGGGCTCCAGGCTGGGTGTGGAGCCTACCTAAAAAATAATAAAAAAATTTAAAAAACTGTATCCCATAAAAATGTGACCACTGTATACAATTTTTAAACACAATTAGAATATCATCTCCTGAACATCCAGGCACCATGTTCTCCAGCTTATAACTTCAGTAGATCCTAGATTATATTCTTTTGGTGTCTTTCACAGCTCTACAGTGTCTTGCTCATGGAAGGCACTTAGCTGTTTAATAAATGCCATTTTTAATTTTTTAAAGTAGGCTCCATGCCCAATGTGGGGCTTGAACTCACGACCCACAAACCTAGAGTCGCATGCTCTACTGACTGAGCCAGCCAGATGCCCCAATAAATGCTGTTTCTTAAAAAGTAAAGCTCTTGATACATTTTCTTATTCATATCCAGAAGTCTTGGATTTCCAGGGACAGTCCAGATATGAAGCAGTCTCTCCCATTTACAAATCATTACCCAAATTAGGATTTCCAATTTGACGTTTGTCTTTCATTTATCAGTTGTCCATATCTTTCAAGATAAATTAACACCACGTGGGGGAGATAAAGAGCCAGAGGAACATGATAAGAGGGACACACTGGATAGAAGAACAAGTAGTCTGAGCCAGTGGTCTTCAAACTGTTATTCTCTTACCCTCAAAAGAATTGATCAGGATGAAATTTGCAGCATAATGTATGTAAATACATTTAAAATTGAAATTGTTAGAGGTCGTTCTTTTGAATTTACCAAATGGGATATAAATATCTGAGGGATTTGATAGCCACAGTGGTCACCAGCCCCCAAATAGCCCCCCAATGATCCCTGCTTCTTGCTATTCGCACTCTGTATAGTCAGTCCCCTAACACATGGTACCAATAGCATACAGCAGAAGTGATGGTATTTCACTTCAAAGATTTTGAGAGACTATGTCTTCCATCTGCGGTGCTCTCTTGCTTGCTTGCTCTCTCAGGTCACTCGGTGGAACATGCAGGAAGCCTCCAGAGAGGCCCACAGGAATAGAGGTCACCAGCCCGCAGCCAGCAAGTAACTGAGACTTGTTGAAGACTACATGAGTGAGGGGCGCCTGGGTGGCTCAGTTGGTTAAGCTGCTGCCTTCGGCACAGGTCATGATCCCAGAGTGCTGGGATCAAGCCCCTCATTGGGCTCCTTGCTCAGCATGGACCATGCTTCTCCCTCCCCTCCCCACTCATGCTCTCTCTCACTGTCTCTCACTCACTCTCTCAAATAAATAAATAAAATTTAAAAAAAAAAAAAAAAGACTACGTGAGTGAGCTTGGAAGTGAATTCTCCAGCCTTAGGCGAGCTTTGAGGTGACTGCAGTCCCCCAACCCAACAGCTTGACAGCAACCTCTGGAGACCTGAGCCCGAACCACCCAACTAAGCCATTCCCTGGCTCCTGACCCTCAAAAACTGTGGGAGAGAATAAATGTTGTTTTAAGCTCCTACATTAGAAGTAATGTGTTACACAGCCACTATCATTTGCTTAAAAAAATACAGCCAGGGGCACCTGGTTGGCTCAGTCCGTAGAGCATGCAACTCTTTGATCTCAGGGTCATGAGTTCAAGTCCCATGTTGGGCATACTGCCTACTTATTTATTTTTTTAAAAGATTTTATTTATTTATTTGACAGAGAGAGACACAGCGAGAGGGGGAACACAAACGGGGAGTGGGAGAGGGATCATGACCTGAGCCAAAGGCAGACGCTTAACAACTGAGCCACCCAGGCACCCCCCAAATTCCTCCTCTTAACACCAGAAGTGGTTCTTTTAATTTAGGATCCAACAAAGATAAGTAAAAGATTCTTGAGAATAACTGATTTCATGCTATAGAATGAATTATTTATAATTTATATACTTACTAGAAGTGAACTTGAGTAAAATAAATTATAAAGAGTAAAATACTTAGTCATTAAACACATACCTCCACATATGGTTCTGGCTGAGTTTGGGCTTTTTTTTCTGTCATCCTAGCTCTATTTCTCTTATTCGCCGCTCTCAGTCCTATTCTAATCCTACCAGTACTTCTGGATGAATAGCGTCTTCCTCACTCCATTTCTAAAATGCTGATTATTCCTGCATCTGTATGTTTTTTTGCCAGTGAACAAGTCTGTGTGAAGCTAGCACTTCAAGAATCATGAGTCCGTTCATAAATCTCCATCAGATAACAAACCCCACTGCTGAAATACAACTATCTACAAAGTCATCTACTAAGAACTCTAGTTTCCAAGATTTTAGTTCAGAAATTGTAACCTAGTTCAGATTCTTTCAGAAAGAAAAGTGAAAATTAAGTCATGCATGGGGCAAAGCATAATATTTGAGGATCCTCACCAACAAACAGATGATTCTTTTCAGAATTTTTAAATGGGCAAGAAAATAATCAGGCCTGATTGAAACTGGAATAATATTTTCCCCCAAGTTCACAAAGAGAGGGAAACCAGCCATTTCGTCTAAAATTTTAGTAACCATTTCTCTCTCTCCTCTCCCTCTGTCCCTCTCTCTCTCACACACACACAATTTTTAAATGCCTTTTTCTTATCAGGCATCTTTATCACAGGGTTATTATTATTTTTTTATAACTTTCTTTTTTAAGATTTTATTTATGTGTCAGAGAGCGAGAGCACAAAGCAGGGGGAGTGGCAGGCAGAGGGAGAAGCAGGCTCCCCGCTGGGCAGAGAGCCTGATGTGGGGCTTGATCCCAGGATCCCGGGATCATGACCTGAGCTGAAGGCAGACACTTAACTGAGCCACCCAGGTATCCCAAGATGTGTAGTTTTTAAAAAAGTAAACTCAAAGAAGCAGAGAGTAGAATGGTGGTTGCCAGGCGCTGGGATGGGAGGGGTGGAAATGGGACATGTTGATCAAAGGCACAAACTTTCAGGTTTTGTTCTGTTTTTTAAGATTTATTTAGAGAGAGAGAGAGAGGGAGAGAGCACATGAGCAGGAGGAGGGGCAGAAAGAAAGGGAGAGAGAATCTCCAGCAGACTTTCCGCTGAGCACAGAACCTGACATGGGATGGGCCCAATCTCATGACCCTAAGATCATGACCTAAGCCAAAATCAAGTGCCAGACGCTCAGCTGACTGAGCCACCCAGGCGCCCCCAAACTTTCAGTTTTAAAATGAGTAAGTTCTGGGGATCTAATGTACAGTATGGTGACTATAGTT